TCTGTGTCACATGGTGGTTATAACACCCTGTGAAATCATTTTACCTCTTAAAAGCCCAAAGCAAGGGGGTTTCTTACATGGGCGGTCAGGGGCAGAGGGGACGAGGTCTGTCCCTCCTGCCCACACCACTGACTGGGCTGTTGGCTGTGGCCATTACAAGCTGCTGCTGATGTGAAGAAGGAGAAGGTTCCAGTTAATCCTTTTTTCCCCAGCCATTATGGGGGCCTAGCACCCATGGGAAGAGCCAAGAACTGCCTTGGGCAGCCCCCACCTTCAGCCGCACTCCAGGCCCAGTAAGGGGCAGGGAAGAGCTGAAGCTGGCAGCTATCTAATGTGACATTAGCAGAACAGTGAGCTCAGGAGAAAGCAGTAGGGGGTGGGAGGAACCGACATCAGTTGTTCTTGCTTTTCCTCCCCTCCCAGGAACAATCCCTGCTCATAACCTCACATTCTAGAATCAGCCTTGTCTCTGTTGCTTTGCCTACCTGAGCCTCCACATTTGCCTTGGGCTCTGAGTCCCTCGCTACCACCTCCTGTCTTCTTATCTGTCATGTGGGTTCCTCCCGGCAGGACAGATAATGACTGGCCCTACTTGCCACCCTGCAGCCAATCTTCTTGCTTGTGATCCAGCCAGCTCCCAGCCACCCTGCAGCCTAGTAACTCCCCAGCTGCCCAGAATGTCTTTTCGTGCCCACCAAGTGTATGTGCCAGGCACGGTGTTCCGCCCTAGGCATTCAAAGACACTGACCCTGCTCTCAGGAGCTTAAGAGTTTCCTGTGCTCCCAGGGCATGACAAGGGACTGGGCCCTTGGTCTAACAAACAGAGTCGGGGCCCTCAGGGAGCTCAGAGCCAGGTCACCCCAAGGTGCTAAGGGAGGGCAGACTCCTGAGTGGGGTTTGGCTGCCTATTCACGGAGCCTAGGGAACCCTCCGCATCACTTCTCTCTGGTCTGATAGGCAAGTATCCGCCATCTCAGCGTCAGCCTGGCTGCCCCGTGGCTTCCTCCCACTCTGCCTCAGTTTCCTCAACTTCTTCCCAGCTCTGATGATCTCTCTGCTATGATCTATACAGCCCCTGGCCAGAAATCCATGAAAATGAGTACCTTGAGCGACCTTCCAGTTGGTGCTCTCAGCTGAAGCCACGTCCAGGGCCTCTGACCTCCTGTGAGTGGTGGTGAGGCACTTGGGAGTTGGAGCGCTTTCAGAAGTCTGAGGCTTGACACCTTTTTCCTTTCCACATGGTCTTACATCCAGGTCATCTCACTGGCGAAATCCGGCTGAGACGTTGCTGGCCAAGCTCTGTCTCTGCATGCTCTGACGTTAGGGCGCGTGCTCAGCTAGTGTGCTCAGTGCAAGCACCGGACTAGCAGCAGGGAGCAGGGGCCCCTCCACTTGTTCAGTGTGTGTTGCTGGAGCATTGAGCTGGCATACTGCCTACAGTTGTGTGATTGATTTCTCACTGCCTCCCTATCAAGCAGGCAGAGTGGCCCTCATACAGGTGAGAAAACCGAGGTTCAGGGATCCTGCCTAGGGCGACAGAGTCCCTAGAAAAGCCGTTATTGTCTTCTGACTGCAGAGCTCTGTTCAGCATCTTAACCAACTCTTCCCGCCCAATATCACATGAATGAAGGATCTAGGGGTGGTCACCTGAAGCACGTGATGGTTACTGGGCTACAAGTTTCAGAAGTGTTTTGTCATGGACAAGAAGGGACACGGCTGTTCTGCACTGTGGCCCAGAGCAGAACCAAGAGGCATGGGAGATTCTAGAAACAATCTGATAATATCTCCAGGAAACCCTTCCTTCTCAGGGCAGATCAGCATGGAAAGGCCTGTTGTGGGACCTCAGAGATTCTGTGATTCTGTGCCCCTGGCTTCTGTTGGAGGTGCAGTCCCTGGGCCATGAGAGGGAGGTATTCCTTGGTGGGGAAACCAGAGAGCTGTGAGCATCCTACTCGGGGGAAGCCAGACACTCCTGGGTACCAGGGAGCCCTGCAGAAAGACTGTTTTCAATCTCCCATAACTAAGGGGACCCCTTAGAGGGCTCCCACAGATGGTGGAGTGTATACCAGGTTGGAGGGCTGTGTGGGAGGTGGTATGAAGAGCACAGGCCCTGGAGCCGGCAGGCCTGGCTTCATATCCTGACTCCAGCCCTTCCTAGCTGTGTGACCTCGGGCAAGCTACCTAACCTCTGTGAGCTTCATGTTCCTCATAAAATGGAGATAATAGTACTCAACTTACATGGCTATTGAGAAGATTAAAAAACTCAATGTAAACCTATGTAACTTTACTAACAATTGTCACCCCAATAAACTTTCATTAAAAAAAGAAAATGGGAATAACCATAACTATGTACAGAAGAAGAAAAAAACTCAAGGTAAAGAGCTTAAATCAGCAAGCACTCAACACATTAATTAAACAGAAAACCACCATCCACAACAAAATGAGATCCAACACAGAGATCCCGGAGACCCAAATCCCTGCAAACTCCTACCTTGCTGGGAACACCTTAAGCTGCAGCCCTGAGGAGAAGAGGCCCCTGGGAACTCCCCTGGGTGCTGAGTCACCTGCCAATTCAGGTGGAAGCCTTTGTTTGGGTTGCTTTCTCCCCTCCCATCCCTGCCTGGCCAAGCTGGGCATAGACATTGTGGAGCTCGCTGTGAACCAGCAGCAGGCAGCAAACTGGGCAGGGCCCCAGCTCTGCCACTTAATAGCTGTGTGCCCTTGAGTGTCAGTCTTTTTTTTTTTAAGATTTTTATTGGGGAATTGGGGGGATGGGAACAGTGCTGGGGAATTGGGGGAAGGGGAACAGACAAGTTGCTGTCATTTTTGTTCTTCAATCTAGTTGGGGAGGATGTTGCTTCACTGGCCCAAGTTGGCACCGTCATTGCACTCTTCCCTGGTAAGGCAGATCAGTCGCCGGCTTCTGGACGGCTGCTCACTGTGGCTGCTGGCCGCTCACGCTGGCTGCTGGCTACATACGGTAGCCCATGGCAACCCACTGCCACAGGGGCTGCAGCCTACGCCGTCGCCGGCGACTCATGGCAACCCAGCTCCAGGTTGAGCTGTTGTTCAGCATCTTAGCTGTGGAGGGCAGTGTCACTGGCCCTCATATGTGGGATCCGAACCGGGGCCCTCTGGCCTCCCAAGCGAGTTCTTAACCATCGCGCCACTCGGCTGGCCCGAGTGTCAGTCTTTTCAGAGCCTCAGTTTCCTCATCCGTAAAGTGAGCAGAGGAGCATTTGTGCTGCTCTACTCCCATGGCTATGGGGAGGGTCAAATAGGGAAGTGCTTTATAAACTTGAGTAACATGCACATATGAGGAACTGTCCTGAGCTAGTGGTCTTCCGTTCCTTCTCCCAGAAGAGCGAGGGGGTAGGTACATTCCAGTTCCCAAACTCAGAGGGAGAAGTGGATCTGTCTTCAGGGCATTCAGTTGTGGGGTCTCTTTCCAACAGGTAGAAAGCACAGCCCAGTGTGGGCTCTCCTCACTCCTTTCCAGGCACTGCCTACCTTTCACTGCAGAGCTCTCACTGAAGGTTAGGGGCTCAGCATCCGTCAGCCTGGAGGTGGGGGCCGGCAAGTCTAGGCAGCCTCCTTTGAAAGCCCTGGGGCAGCAGGGTGACTGGAGCTCCTGATTGACTCAGCAGGAGTTCTAGAGAGCAGTTAGATGAAGTATACACACAGTCTTTGATAGAACAGTCAGCCCTGTTCCTGGGCATACATCCAGGGGCAGTGTCATACTAGCCCTAAGGACACATAGAGGCCACCTGGGTGTCCATCACTGGCAGAGTAGAGAGATAGAGTGTGGTGGGGACACGGGATCATGTTCTGGGCAACCGTGAAAAGCAAGCAGATCAGACGCACAGGAAGCCTCGTGGGTGGATTGTAAAATATGGCTTAGTCATCAGCACCGTTAGTAGAGGGCATGGATACCCTTCCCTACTGAAAGGAACCAGGACTTCCTGATGGCTGATTGCACGGCTGGGGCAGCTACGGCTCGAGATGAGCCTTATCGGAAAACAAGGAAATGTATCCAAAAAGTGCCAGGGGCAGGTTAAAAGTCACCGCAGCAAGATTGAAGGGGCTCCCACTGGCCAAATGTGGGACAATTTGAGCACCAAGATAATTAAATGCAATAATGAATTATAAACAATTAGAAACATAGGCATCCATGTTGATAATAAATAAATGAGAGAGAAGGGAAGCTGTTGCTGGGGCTGGAAAGTCATTTTGTAACCAACATAAAGAGCAGATCAGGCAAGAATCATCAGTGGATGTTAAATGTAGGGGTGCTGGATACTAAACTTTGATGAGGAGCAGGATATGTGCATGCTCTTTTATATTTTTTAATTTTATCGGGTAACAGTGCTTTTTTTCTGGGGCCCATCAGCTCCAAGTCAAGTCGTCCAGTCGCCATTTTCAGTCTAGTTGCAGGGGGCGCAGCCCACCATCCCATGTGGGAATCGAACCGGCAACCTTGGTGTTAAGAACCTTGGTGTTAAGAACCTGTGCTCTCACCAACTGAGCCATCTGGCCGCCCACCAGCAGCTCAGCTCAAATTGTTGTCTTCACTCTAGTTGTGGAAGGCGCAGCTCACTGGCCCACGTGGGAATCGAACTGGCAACCTTGTAGTTCAGAGCATGCGCTCTAACCAACTGAGCCACCCGGCCACCCACTGTGCATGCTTTTAAAGTGTGTCCCCACATTTTGTTCCTCCCTTCATCCATTGATGAACAGTTGGCTATTGCGAACAGTGCTGCCGTGAACATTTGTGCATAAGTATTTGAGGGCCTGTTTGCAATTCTTTCAGTTCTACTCAGGAGTGGAATTGCTGGGATAAATGGTAATTCTACGTTTACCTTTATTTTCTAGGATGCTTTTCTGCATGTGGTTGTAATGCCCTGGTGGGCCCCAAAGGCCCCTCACCGGGGGCTGGGCGCCAGGAGCTGAGCCCACGTGCGGTGGGTGATGGAGAGCTGCTCTGGCCTCCCAGGCAGATGAGTGTCAACATCTTCCTGTTCCATCATCCTTCTTGTCTGCCTGCTTGGCCCCGGGACCCCTAACCTGCCCCTCTCTCCCCAACAGATGTGCCCGTGGAGAAGCTGGCCGCCATGCCCGCCTTGCGCAGCATCAACCTCCGCCTCAACCCGCTGAACGCTGAGGTGCGCGTCATCGCCCCGCCACTCATCAAGTTTGACATGCTCATGTCTCCGGAGGGCGCTCGGGCCCCCCCACCTTAGACGTCTCTCCTCATGCCCACCCAGCAAGGGACAGAGGCCACCTGGCCTGGCACCCTGAGGGGAGGGAGTCCCATGGGCCCATGGGAGGCCAAGCTTTGGGGGCTGGGGGTGGGTGGGCCGAACAGCGCGTGGTGGGAAGGGGTGCAGCGGTCCAGGATAGATAGCTTAGAGCAGTAGTGGGTCCTGGAATGCCCAGGGGGAGAAGGCAAGGCAGAGGCTGGAGCCCAGACTCTGGGCACCCACAGCTTTTGTGCAAACTTGGGCAGACCCCCGCCCTCTCTGAGTCTTGTAATTTGGGGAGAGGGGTGGTGGTGGGGGGGGCCTTTACCACCTTTGGGCTCCTTGGAGGCCATTTAGGGAACACATGCCTCCAAGTTACCTTCCAATCCTCGGGTACCTTCTGAGCCCGTGGCTGAGGATCGCTGAGCATTTCCTGGCCCCTGTGGGTTGAGGCCTTGTTTCTCATGCTGAGAGCCAGTCACTGGCCCGAGAGGAATAGAAGACAACCTGCATCTATTTATTGCTTCCTAAGAACTGACCCAACTGAGGCCTTTCACAGTGCCCCAGCCTCAGCCCTGTGGGCCCCTGGATTGGCGGGAGACTGAACTAGGAGTCATGGGAAAGCTGCAGAGGGAGTATGGCCCAACGCTACAGCAGGGCTGACAATGTTTATATAGGAGCCCAAGGACCATCAAGCCAGGAAACTGGGCAGCAGATCAAGGTGGCTCTGTCTTTCCGGTGATTAAGAAACCTCTAGGGTAGGAAGTTCTGAGTGCTCCATCCCTCCCTCAGGAGTGACCAGGTGTGCCTGGCATCAACCCTTGAGCTGCAGAAGAGGTGGCGCAGAGAGAAACAAAGCCATTTGCACCTGTGCCACCCTCACCACAGTCTCCCCCTGGCAGCAATCTGGCTGCCTTGTCACTGTTCCACCTGCAGGCAGAAGGCACTGTGATGGACCGTTGGATTTGTAGCCGGCCAGCTCCCAGGCCACCCCCTAACTCCCTGATAACCTAGTCATTTCTAGGCCCTCAGCAGAGTCAAGGGTGTGGCCAGGCACTAGGGTGATCAACCATCCCTGTTTGCTCTGGACGTGGGACTTTTCAATGCTAACTCGGGGACAGCACCCAGCAAACAGAGACAACTGTCCCTCTGCCGGGAGATAGGCTGGGGCTCTTTCTTCCTGACAACACCTGTGGTTTGGAGAACCCCTGACCTCTTGATCCCGCAGGTATCTACCTGCCACCTTCTCACCTATGGAGCAAGCAGATCAGAGCCCACCTGGTCTGGACTTTTGTCTGTGGGAGACACATGAGGAGGCCCCAGGACTTGGCGCAAGCCAGGCCACCCAAATCCTACATCCGTGGACCAGTGGCCACTCTTCACTTTTAGAGTTAAGCTGTTAAGAGCTCAGACCACCGCTCAGAGCAGTCACCCTTTCTGAGAAAGCCTTTGTTCCTTTCCCCTTCCCAAGCCCTGAGGCTGCCGCTGCCCAGGCCTCCTGTCTCTTGGCAAGAAACTGACAGGTTGGTTGATCATTGGCACATTACCGAGCACTTGGTGTCCCAAGAGATGCCTCATTTATTCCGCTCATCTCCCAAGGCCTGGGTGGTCAAGCTCTGAGAGAAGTGTTTTCAAGGGGAGGAGACCAGACAAGATCTCTAGGGCTACTGAGTTCAGCTGGGGACAAGCAGGGGCTGTGGTTTAGCCCAGACTGGCCTGGCCCCATTCACCCTGTGTCCTGGAATGGGGTTTCTCCTTGTTGAAGAAGGGGTACACTTTCCTGATGTGCACAAAGGCATTTACGGCCAGAGCCTTGCAACTCAGTATGGTCTGTGGGCCAGCCGCATTGGCACCTATAGGAGCTTGTTAGAAACACAGGCCCCAAGGCCCCACCCTAGACCTCTAGAATCAGAACCTGCTCTCCAGAAGAGCCCCAGGTATTCGGACAAGCACTTTACCTTTTGAGAAGCAAGGGCCTGGGGTGGCCCTGGGGGTGTCCTGAGAGTGGAGGGTGAAGGTTCTCATCTTTCCCCCGACACCACCAGGGCTCAAGAGTCTGTGCCCGCCCCCCTCCCTAAAGCAGCCCCCAGAGACCCCTGGCCTCTTAGTTCTTTTCAGAGTCTGCGTGGCAATCCCAGCGAAGGCAGTGACTGGAAGTCACCAGGGGATGAGGGTTGGGTTTGCCTGGCCTTCTGGCTCTGCCTTTCTGGTTAACTCCACATGCCAAGCTGCTGCTTCCCCGGGTCCTCACTTCAGGCCCTTCCGAGGGGTTGCTCCTGGAAGCTGTTTTCTACTCTGCTTGGAGAGTTTGCCCTGGCCTCTCTGGGAAAGCTTGGGCAGCAGGGAAGCCCCAGATCAGAGCCCACAATGTGCGTGAGCCCTTAGCTTCAGTTGGCAATAAAGAATGCATTGGTTTCACCTGCCTGGTTGGTGTTTGATTCTCACTGCACAGGCCTCCTATAACCTGAGTGTCAAACCCACCCACCTGCAAAGAGGAGGGGCTGCCCTCTACCTGAAAGCTAGACTAGGATGATACTCAGTAGCGTCACAGATGGGCACAGGCACAGCCAAGAGGAATTGATGCATGCCCCAAAGCTGGGCTGCTGCTGAGCCATTAAATGTCAGCCCTGGGGAGACCCGGACACCTGGGAATGGGTGAAGGGACCTGCTGTCCCCGTTTTTCCCTTACTGATGCCAGAAATGACATCCTTAGTAATTCATTCCTCAGGGTCTGTGGTTCTCAAAGATGGGTCTCTGGACTAGCAGCACTGACATCACCAGGGAGCTGGTGAGACGTGCGACCTCTCAGTCCCACCCCAGACCCACAGAACCAGACGCTGGACTAGGGCCCAGCACTGTTTCAACAAGCCCTCCAGGTGTCCTGATGCAAGTTAGACACCCGCTCCTGGGTTCAAGGTTCAGGTCAGTTTTTATTTTCCAAATCTGAAAGGCCAACCTGAGTTTGCCTTGGGTTTTAGGCTGACACGCCATTATTTTTATTTAACAAACACACAGAGCTTAGTGGTACCAGGCAGTGTCTAACGTGTTAGAGATAGTAGCTTACTTAATCCTTTTAACAACCCTAGCTAGCTCTGTGAGTTGGACAAATCCCTTTTCCTCTCTGGTCCCATTTCCTGTCTGTAAAGTGAAAGGGCTACACAGGGAGAACCTGGCCGAGGTCAGACTTAGTCGGTGGGGCAACCGGGATTCAAATCTAAGCCTTTGGACCAGTGTCCACATCTCTTAGAATTGGTATCCAGGACCTGGGAAATTGTTTCTAAAAGGTCCCACGTAACCTGGAAGAGGCCGAGAGAGCTGCCCACTTTTCTCAAGAGGCTTCAACACCTTCCCAAAGACGTGTTCTTCAAGACGCCATGGAGATTGACCTGAACCCCGTTTTGAGCTAGCAGCCTTCACCATCACCTCACAGGGTGCAGGGCCCTAGCTAGAGAGCTGAATTTCCTCAGTGTGCCCCAAGCCCCTCCTCAGGAAGAAACTCCTTATTCTGGGTTCTCCAAAGGAAAAGATAAACGGCCAGAGTGAGAAAGTTCTGGTCCAGTCCTCTCCCATTTTATAGATGGCTGGAGTGACTTGCCCAAGGATGTGCAGGGAGCTTGTGGCAGAGTCCACACAAATGCCCAGGCTCCTTGGCTCCTGCCCCATGTTCCTCTGCAGCCCTTGATGAGTGTTGGAGTTTGGGAGCTTGTCTGCTTAGCAGTCCTTGCCTCTCCTCCTGGACCGTGCTGCCCTAGCTGTGCCCTGGGAATGATTCAGCCATTAGAACCCTCACGTGTCATTCATAAACACTGATAACAACTCTGATCTCCTTCCTTGGGCAGAGCTCACTAAGGAGCATTTTGAAGGAAGTGCTCCTCAGAGGCTGGCTGAGGAGAGGGAGTGGCACCTCCTGGCTCCCAGGAAGGGACTCTACCCTGGTCCAGGCCTCAGCCTCTCTGCAGATCCCTTGGCCTCCCTCTTCAAGGGGACAGTTCCTCCTCCTCCACCCCATTCCCACCACCAGACAGATGCTGGAAATGCTGGTAATGTGTCGGGAGTCTACTAACCAGGGACCATATTGCCACCAGGCTGAGACCCCCTTCCCCTTCCCTGTGGATTCTGAGCCTTTTCTAAATGGTGGCGCTGCCAGTGGCCTTCCTCACCCCTAAAGGCCTGCGTGCACTTCCAGCCAGGGAGAGAGAGACTGGGTCTCCCATTAGAGATGCTTGGCTTTTCCACCACGAGGGAGGAATCCCACCACAAGGGAGGTCACTCTGTGGCTTCATGTCAGTCCTCCCAGGCACCTACAACTCTCTCAGTCTTCTCAGAACACAGCTTCATCTCTGCTTAGAGGAGGAGTTCTCTGAGGGACCAGCACAGGCCTCTTGCATTCCACCTACACTCACTGAGGGCGTGGGACCAGGAAGGATGCCGGGTCATTAAACCTGCTTGGAAGGCAATCCTTCAGTCATACTACTGACCCCTTTGACCTCCTTCGCTGCCCCCCAGAAAGCCTGATTCCAAGAAGATCACCTTCTGCCTTCTCCCCCACTCTCTTTAGACCCTTTTCCAAGCAGGTGTCCTCATCGATTCCAGTGGCACAGGAGGCTCTTCTCCCTTCAAGGACCTTCTCAGTCCCACTGCCCTCCCGCCACCTGCTGATACCCAGCTTTTCAGATGGAAATCAGTTTCCAGGATGGTGGGGCTTTCTGTGAAAAGACTCCCTAGTCCACAGATGTTGGGGGTAGGATGGGTTGGGGAGAAGCTCCCCTGACGATGAGGGGCCAGGCCAAGGGCTTGGCCAGAATAGGAGCAGGAAGCCCTGAAGGGCAAGGAAGTGGTGTGGCTCCTCAAGATGGACAGGGGTTGCTTCTGTGCTCTGCATGGCTGCACCCATAGTTTCTCAGAAGCTCCAAGAGGGACAAGAACCATGAAGGCAGGCTGGGGTGGGGGGCAGCCGGGCCAATGCCCAAGGAGTCCAGAGGAATGTCCACCTCTTTCCT